CCTGTGTTCTAGGAGCATTTGCCCCGTGAATGGCCATTATTTTTGAAAACGGCACCTGACACTTCGCAAGCAATGGCCAGGTCGGTGCGTGGGCACCTTGGTGTGGAACTCGGATGCCCTTGGCGGTTGCGAGAGCGAACCAGCCCTGACTTGGACCATTCCGGGATTCATACCTTGATCCCGTCGCCATCACGAGAGTATAGTTGTACGACAGTATAACAATAACAATTTTGACAACAATAGTAAGAATACTAGCAATAACAATGATAAGAAAGAGAAAAACAATAATAGTAAAGATGGTAATAGTAACAATAAGAATAATCATAGAATGCATGGCTGTAGGGCCTTGGATGATGTGGCCCATCTCCCCTAAACCCTAAACCCCCAAAACTCTAAACCCTAAACCCTAAGCCCTAAACCCCTAAAACTCTAAACCCTAAACCCTAAGCCCTGACTGGCTTTTTTCGCTGTGAGGTTTTTAGCACAGTCCTTGGGGACGCAGTTCGAGAAATTAACTCCGATGGGGAGGCTGGAGCCTCAATTCGAAGACTATTTACATGCTAGGGGTTAGGGTTTAGGGGTTTAGGGGTTTAGGGTTTAGGGGTTAGGGGTTTAGGGCTTAGTGGTATTACCCCAAGAATGGAGAGTCAAATGGAAAAGAAAATGGAACATAAAAAGGAAGCTGTGATCTTATAGAGGCTTATAGGGTGGATACTAAAAATCCTGCGTGACCCTAAGTGGCTTATACGCTGGGAAGTAGGGTACTACAGTACATTAAGGTTATGTAGGATCTTTAGTATCAACGGCATTATAGGGTCTAGGGCTTAGGGTCACTAGTGCTATTGCTATTACTATTGTACCGTTACTGTTACCATTACTTTTTGTCAATCTTTTGCAAAGCGCTCAACAGATTTTCTGACAGCTGTCCGCGAAATTCTAGTTGCAGCTTCTCAGTATATACCATCAGTATATACCGCCAATATACTATAGTAGTTTCCATTTTCTTTTCCGCTATCCCTACATATCCCTAAAAATCACAATATGACTCTACCTCCTACACCCTACAGTAGTTTGATTTTTCAGTTTTTTTCCATTACGCCCATGTAAGGTATCCTGCACTGCGGAGGTGGGGCCCCTGGCGCGCTGTGCTCTGATAGATTCCATGACTTCATGTCTGTGTAATGTAGTATGACCGTATGGTTTGTCTTATGCTATGGAGGTAATTTAGTATAAGCCCTAAACCCTAAATCCTATACCCTAAACCCCATACCCTAAACCCTAAACTCTAGACCCCTAAACCCTATAAACCCTAAACTGAAACCCCTAAACTCTAAACTAAACTCTAAACCCCGTGTCGTGCCTGGCAGACATCAAAAGTCCGAGGGGTTTAAAAAGAATTCTAAACTCCAGGCCAGGAACAGTGATTCTGTATGACGAAGTGAATCGGCAAAAGATGTTCCCCACCAAGCGACAATGTCCTCTGCAGAGGTTGGGTTTAGGGTTCAGGGATTAGGGATGTTTAGGGCTTAGGGTTTAGGGTTTAGGGATGTTTAGGGCTTAGGGTTTAGGGTTTAGGGATGTTTAGGGCTTAGGGTTTGCGGACCGTTTCTTGAGGGGAGCTCGAAGGAACTTTCAAGCACTTGCAGCCATGGCCACAGTAAGGGGCTCCGGTGTGCCTGAAAGTGAAGGTCAAGGTGTGTAACAATGGATATTAATAGTACACAGACACCATATGTTAAACCCTCAGCCCTACCCTGCGCCTGGAAAGCCTCCAGTTTTAGCACTTCTCCAAGCTCCTCCAGTTAAGGCTCTGGGGAAGTCTGAAGAGGAAAAGCTGCAAGACTATTTTGCGGGCGCTTGCCCGGTATACCGGTAGACCCTCCAGCAACGCCCGAATGAATGAAAGAAGGGAAGAGGGCAAGTCGTACTCAACTTACCACCGTGAGCTCGAAGGAGTCAGTGTCTTGAATACGAAGATTATTATTACTATCATTATTATTCGTATTACTATTATTATTACAATTATTATTACTACTATTATTACTGTTACTATTATTTTTATTAGATGCAGCGTCACGGAAACTACCAAGGCTCTTGGTGCCCCGACACACCGCGATTTGAAGATGTGCTGGTGCCAGGACCACTGATTGCCATGCGCCTTGATCTTTGATTCCTATAATTATTAGTATTATCATTATTCTTATTTTTAGTAGTATTACCATTGTTACTATAATTATTTTTATTGCCATCATTACGATTATTATTGTTAGTATTACCATTATTACTATTTTCTAGTAAAATTACCGTTATGAGTATTATTACTCGCACTTGGTTCTGTATTCAAACCAGGACGGCCTGCCGTGGGACAATGATGTCAGGAAAGGACTTGCCGCCATGGCCGCTCTTGCTGCAGAGAGGACACACCTGCCAAAGTAGCTACTATTACTATGGGTACTTTTAGTACCATTATTACTATTATAATTCTTGTTATTATTACCATCTTTAGTAGTACTCTTACTGTTACAATTACCATCTGTATTATTCTCTATCTTGCTTCAGCAAGCGATCTGAACATTCAGCGCTAGTACGGGATGCCTTGAGCTGCAAGTCTTTGCTCTGACATGGAACAGCGGCAGGGGATTTTGGAAGTCTTTGACAAGTCCCGCCGTCGTAGCGAGTCGTAGCAACGCATACGGTGGGAAACGCGAGCAGCCGGGTTTGGTTTGCTGCTATATAACGGCTTCAAGTGTTGTATTAAGATGCCCCAAGATTCCTACTGCATGGTCTGCAGCATGGTCCATCTCAACGAAATGTGGGGTACCTGACGTTCAGCATGCTTGCATCCTTCTCTATCAAGCCACGTTGCCGTTGCGAATGCTAGCCTTGCCTCAGCTCAGGTGCGGCAGGGGCTTACGCCACGAATTGAGATAGCATCTGACGAGGCATGACGAGGGTTCCCATACTTTCCTGGGCTGTCAGTCCAGGAAATGGATGATTGTGAGGTAGCTTGTCCACACTGAAAAAGCCCCAATCGGCCACGGCACATCCTGCATGAACTGCTTCATATTCCATGCGTTGTGTTGCCATGATACTTGGGTAGCTGTTCTCTGCGGATATATGCAGGTACCCGGCTAGATCTCAGAAGTAACAGCGTTTCGGGTTTCGGGGGCCTGGGAGCTAGAGGACACTTTGTTTTTGCCATGCCCATGATGTTGAAGGCACAAGAGCCCGGCTGTGATGCAGCCAGCGATGACCTTTGGTACGGTTGCGCAACCCTGGCCCGTGGCAGAGGGGAGCTTGGAATGGTTCGGTACCGAATATAGAAGGGCAGTTATCTAAATAAAGGGCCTGTGGCATTTCAGGCCCCTTAAGCTGTTGTGATGAGACAGGCTATAACCCATTATAGTAGTTTCCATTTTCTTTTCCATTATCCCAATATTACCCCAATGTACATCCTGCTCAGAGTCGCTTGCATTGCCGCCTCCGTACTGCCTTGCCTTCCCTGGGCGCAGCTGAGTGTAAGATGAAAGATTGGCAGGTCGTCATGAGCCGACGATGGGACACAACCGTCATTCCCCAGGCAAGTGTTGATTGGCTCTGGTATGAAAAGCCAGATTCAGCTATAACCCATTATAGTAGTTTCCATTTTCTTTTCCATTATCCCAACATTACCCCAATATAACCCTAATATGACCCCTATATATTATAGTCTACAAAATGAGGGTTGTGAAGATGTTTACAGATGCAGGTGATGGCGCGCACAGCCCCAGCAGAAGAGCAGCTAGACATGGCACTGCGCAAGCTGGATGCGTGCCACCGCAGCGCCCTCATTTTGGTAGTTTCCCAAAATAAGGTGACCCCACCCACTATAGACCCCCAAATACTATAATCCTTATTATGGGGACCCCCAAAAAGGGTAACCCCTAATTTTGGGAAACCCTAAGCCCTACATAATCCCCTGTATAATCCCAGTTTCCATTTCATTTTCCATTTTCTTTTCCATTTGATTCTCCATTATAGTAGGTATATAACCCCTAATTTTGGGAAACCCTCATTTTGTAGGCAGTGCGAGCATGCAAGGCTCGTAGGCAGCTACTGTTCTTGCTCGTTGACCCATGCAGCTTTGCTCACTTTGACTGCGGCCCATGCAAGAGAGAGAAGGGTTTAGGGTTAGGGTGTAGGGCCCTCTATGACCCCTATATCATCCCTATAATTCCTGTAGACCCCAATATACTACAGTATACTTAAACGTGCGAGGCATTTCTCCACAGGCATCCATCCGTGTTCTGGGAGTTCGCAGCGGGCAGGCAGCCGATGTCCCGGCCTCAGACGTGTTGCAAGGGCAGTCCATGCCGAAGTCAAACACTTGCTGCGAATGGAATGGATACTGCAATCCAAATTTTAGTATATCATTCTGTATTATACTATAATTACTATATTATTGTATATTATACTACACTATTGTATGTTATGTTATGATAATTCTGTGTGCTGGCAATCCCCAAGTCGCCCAATCCGGCAGCCGCTCAAGCAATCTCCAATCCACGAACCAACAAAAATGACAGGACGTGAAGCTGCCTGTTGGCCATTCCCGCGTCTGCTCGGTGGTGTACCGGCCAGAAGAGGGACAGCAGAATGCATACTGTAAACAATGGCGTGTTCGCTCGCTTTTCCGTGAATTGCCTGGTGCATGGCAGCATGTTGCTTGAGGGAATTCTTTCTGCGGGCTGTTCTGTGTGCCGAATGCCGCGGAACATGTAGAATGTTGGGCTGTAGTGGTGCTTTAGGTCTTGTGCACTGGCACGTTTCAGCAGGAGTTACTTGGACCGCGCATACTCCGGCGCTTCATTGTGCTGCGCTCAGCATGCTCCTTTCGCAGCCCTGGAAGCTGCTCTTGCGTGAGGTGCAACTGAGCCAGGGACTTGCACAACGACACCCTGCACGGGACCCAGCTTGTCTTTGAGTCAGGCGGCAGGATTTTTTCACCTCGCAAGTGCTAGGTGAATGCCGTCGCACGACGGTACCCTCCCCAGTATCTCTCAGACTCTCAGCGTGGTGAATCAAGCTTTCCCGTACTGGCAAAGCTGCTCATCCATCATCGCACGTGTTGCAGGACCGGAAGTTGGAGCTTCGAACCCCACAGGCAGAGCTGGCATGGAATTTGCTGAGCGAGTTCTGCTCACTGAGTAGCAGCTGAGTCCGTACGTCAGGGCCAAAGATGCTGGGCTTGTTCGGAGAGTGGTAAGGAGTACACGTTCAAGGCACGGATCCTAGTGAATTTGTTGATTTAATGCTGCTTGTTGTGGCCCCATGTTTCAGATTGGCTCGGGGCAAAATTCGCAGCGTCTGCTTGCACAGGTGAACGCGCTGGCTGAACAGATGGAGGGACAGTCTGTATCCTGGTGGCCTCCGTGCCACGCTGAGCATACGGGTGTTTCTCACAACTCCCTGTGAATGTCCGAGAATTACATCCCTCTCTACTAGGATTTCTAAAGAAGCCTGTAGCCCGCAGACAGCTTTATCAGTGTTGTCAACTGTGCTGTCAACAGAGCTTGATGCGACAAGACAAGGTATGGAATCAACAGCCCGCCAATTCTCTGGATTTTCATGGAGCCGCTTTCTCTGCTCGATGTGAGAGGGCAGTAGATCTCTTATCGCGCGTCACCCTTGAGAAACATCACGAATTTTAGATTGCTTCTTGAAGCCCACATTTTGCAGGACGCCTGGAGTGTTGTGGAAGCCTGCCCCGTCATCGCGGGATACATGTTCTTATTCTTCTGCTGCCTGCTTGTACGCAAGGCGGAGGACCGGTGGTGCCTCTTGCGCTGCCTAGTCTAGCAATGTCTAGCACTGTCCAGCTAGAGCAGGGATCGGTAGGTCATGGTAGTTAGATCACGTGTTGAAAAGCGGCAGCAGGCACGTGAAGTCAGCTAGCTACTGCCGTCTTCGCTTCAAGAATGTCGCGTTTCTTTGCCCCATGCCGAGAGAACCCGCATGACCTCGAACAACTTCTAAACTGAATTGTAGTGTTCAACGCCGCTGTGGAACACTGCAGCCAATCTGGTCTGGAGGAATTGACGGGTGGCCTCATCCCCTGGACACGCTGCGTGCCCATTTTCGGGCCAGCACTGAAGCGGGGTGAGGCAGCGCAGCCAGGGATTCAGACTTTGTTTTTGAGGGTTTTGCCCTCCTTGGTGGGAATCCTGGGGCTGTGGGGGGGGGGGACGAAAACTATCAAGTAGCAGGGCTTGGGCAGCGGAGCTATTGATGGTGGAGGCTTCAGTGTTCATGGTTAAGGGTCTCAGCGGCCGGGTACGCAGAAATTTGTTGGAAAGCGCAAGGCACCACTCGCGAAGGCTTTTGGTCTTGTGGTGGCAGTCTGATACAACTTGCATAATGCACAAAGCAGTCTGAGGTCTCAGGGTTCGGGGGTTTAGGATTTTTAGGGGCATAGTAGAGGGTGATGTAGGGATAACGGAAAAAAGGAAATTACCATTAGTCTTGCAGTTGGGAATCGGAAGCTTGCTCTGCTGATGGGATTGTAAACCTAAGCCCTAAACCCTAAACTTGTCTTCCTGCTAAGAAACTGAATTTAAGTTACTCTCTTGGGGAAACCATATTAATTGCTGTATGTATACCCATTATGTTCCTCAACAACAACCCAGTAAACTTTACTTGAAAGGATTAGCTTGCCAACCTACTCCAAGGCAAGGTGCGTGGCAGTTTCTAGGTAAATGGTGTGAACCTAGAGGAGCCATAGTCTGAATTTCTTAAAGGGGGGTTATAAAGGGGACTATGTAGGGGCTATTAGCGGGGATGCTGGGAGTTTAGTCCATAGCTGAGATGATGAACAGAACCCATGTCTCAATGTCTTACTCGATTACCTTCATCCTAGACCCTAAACCCTAAACCCTCTAATCCTAGCGGAGGCGTGGCGCTTCGTCACCTTCACCTTCTTCCATCTGCAGTTCCTGGACCTGTTCCAGAATCTGCTGACACTCCTGGACACGCTAGATGTCGAGGCATGGATTGCACACGCTTGAATGCTGGGGCAGGCAAACCTAAACCCCAAAAGCCCAACCCCCCCCAAAATTGCCCCAATGGTAACTATTCTACATACTTTGGGGGTCCAGGAACATGCGTGGAGTGATGCATGTCGCAAGGCCACACCGGCAATCGTTCTTGGCGACGGCTCGAACTTGAAATGCGGTGTGGCTTGGCATCCGATTCTAGGGGTTTAAAGTTTGCTGTTGCATCCCTGTAGAATCCCAATATGAGCTATAGTCTAGACTCCTTAAAGTGCGTTATATAGGGGACCATATAGGGGACTGGTGTAGGGGTTATTCAGGGGGATACTAGGAGTTTAGACCATAGCTCAGATATACTAGAATAGTCGCTAGATTATCCATATCATGGCATCTATCCCTATAATACTCCCTATAGAATTTCTTTCAGGTCGGGGCCAAGACAAACTTCATGTGCTACCCCAGCATCGGTGCTGTCCTTGGCTGCCAACTTGTATCCTGATGGCTTTCTATGGATAGTAACGGCAATCATCAAAGTAACAGGAGCATCATTACTAGTACTAGTAATAGTATCAGTATGTAACAGTAGCAGTTGGTGTTTATGTCACCAACGATGGGGGTTAACCATCAAGCCTGACGTGCACAGCAGCATGGATGGTAGTGATGGCAGTTTCAGGTTTGGGCTCGACCCACACCTTGGGCGTGGCCTTGGTGAGCTCAGCGATCGGCGGCATGTGTAGCACCTGGGTGAAGTTCGGCGACGTTGTGGCAGGCAGATGATGAAAATGCAAAACATGTATCTTTCTCATCACGTGGTCCGGGTTGGTGGCGCGGGCGATGGCGGTGGTGGTGGCATTGGCGGTGGCGTTGGTGTCGCCGTGCTGCCGCTGCGGCTGCTGCTCCTGACGCGGCGGTGGTGTGGTGTGGGTGGGTGGGGGGGGGGGC